TTCCCGTTGAGTGCCTTCAGCAAGAAACAGACAAGCACCGCACTCAGTAGCACACAGGCTGAAGTTGTGTGTGCAAATGTATCGCTGCGTGCATTGGGACTTCCTTCATCTGCACTCTGGAGTGTGCTCCTGAACACGGGGGGAGATACCAAGCAGCGAAACGCCTCTCTAACGAAATCTCCAAAAAAATCGGTGGGACATCATCCCCTACCTGACGGTAGAAGACTCGAAGTCCATGAGGGTGTTTCTTCTATACCCGAACCAGTGGATCTTACGACTCACCCCTTGTGTGTGTCTATCGTAGGTCCGCTATGGACTACCGTCGCTTCGCGGAAGCGGAAGCAGAAATGCATAAGGAGTTAGCCGGTATTCGGGATCCGGGGGGAGTGGACGTCGAAGCTTTAGCGCCAAAGTCCGGTTCGAAAGACACTCACGTTCCCCACGCCATTGAACCTGTCGTTCTTGAAGACAATCAGGCGACTATCCGAATCCTTGAGTCCGGCAAATCTCCCGCTTCCAGACATGCTGATAAAACACAACGAATCAACTTAGGTTGGATTGCGGAGCAATTTCGGCGTAGACACTACAAGATGGCTTATATCAACACCAACCTTCAAACCGCTGACATCGTTACGAAGCCCTTCACAAACTCCGACAAATGGTCTAGGGCACTTGAGCTCATGCGTATCGGACCCGACAAAGTCCGAACCAGGAAAGCTGCCGCAGCATCGCAGCCGCGAAACGGCGAGCTCAGGAGGCCCGACACCGAGAAAACGTCGTTGATCATTGAGGTTGCTTGGGACGGGGAAGCTTACATGAAGAACTTTGTGCCAGAGAAATACCCGCAGTGCAGTTGGATCTCATCAGAAGGAATAATGGGTCTCAACTCTACCACAAAGAGCAAGGATTTACTCAACACTGCGAGGAAATTTCACAGGATGGGTGCATCAGTTTTGGTGTGGGTGAGGATTCCTTCGCCTACCACAGACACCTCTCCCCCCGTCCTAGCGGAAGGGATGTGCAGCGAATCTGTCAACACTACGTCCTTCAACAAAGCATGGGCATCGTTCGTTGACTTAGCTACGGGGTTAACCGCGCCCGGTGCTGATTTTGTCAGCATGGCCGATAAAGATTGTCCTTACCTCGAGCACGAGCGAGTTCGGAAGTGGGTTAAGAACAAGAAGTTCGTTTCCGACAATTTCGATGCATGTGCAGTCAACTATCACGGTCCCGACGGTCTGTTGGCACGTGTTCCCACTTGACTGAACTATAATTCTGTTGAGGAAATTCAGAAGAAGTTTGCCGGTGACAACCACAAGAAGTGTCGTAGCCCCGACAGCCCCCACTCTATTCAGCTCGGTAGCATGATTGTTGAAAGTTACAAGGAGCATTGCAAGAATTCCAAGAAGCATGTTGCGAACTCTATCAACCTGGTAACCATTGGTACTCAAGTATCCCAGCATTCAGCATCCTTCCCTCGCCTACGTCTTGCTGACGCAATGACCGCTCTTCAACATCCCGTTCGAGGAGCAGCGTGGCGACGAGACGATCGGTCATGAGGAAGCGGAGCAGCGCGCCCACGAATTCAGGCTCGCACTCAGCGACCCCGATCGCCTCGCTGACGCGTTGGCAGGACTCACCAAACCGGCTTCCTTCCGGTTCATCGCAAAGTTCATCAAGGAGCCGACTAAGGAGGATGACCCGCAGAAGCTGTTTTTGCGTTGCATCCCGAAATCTGAAGGGCTCGATCTCCGAAAGGAGAATCCTTTTGCAAGATCTCTTTGCGAGATGTGGCATGGAGTTCGAGTCCAGGATGATGGCACAGCCACAGGACCTCTTGTTGTTGACGCCTCCCTACAACGATGGCTGTCGGTTCTCGTTTTTCTTTAGAGACATCACGATTCTTGGGTTCAGCCAAAAGGCGAGCCCGGTGTACGATGGGTTGAAGATGTTTGACCTATGCCATCGGTTCACCCTCCTAGCGGAAGGGTTGGGGAAGCACCGTCTCTTCCCATCCAGCATTCGCTTACTGGGTGGATTGTTCACACCCTCGCTGCAGCGGATCCCACCGCCTCCGCGCGAGAAGACCTTCTCTATCATCGTGGGTGACAGCTCTTTGGCGCTGGTCACGATGCCGGGGAAGAGGGTGAGCACCAAGCGCACCTTTGCCCAACAGCGAGCTCCGAGAGGCGCTCAAGGATGACCCAAGGATTTCGGGCTCGGAAGTGTCTATGCTATGGGGCCAAGACCTCAATCACATCCTCGAGCAGATCGATCTGATGCTGAGGAGATATACGCACAAGACGCATCGCCCGACAGGGTTTGATGTCATCATTTCGTGGACTGGCAATGACGTCTACGGCAACTGGGGGTATGAAAACTTTCTCATGGCATCATCAGTCGCCATGGGTTAAGGAAACCGCGAAATGGCGCGCAAGGCCTGCGAGTGGCCCATCAAGCAGCTCAAGCAGGTCCAATCGGACGTTCAAAAGGTGATCGCGCTGCGGGACAGGCCAGGCATCAATTCTGTGACGGTCATCACTGGACCAGAGAATGGGTTTTTCTATAACCTGCCCGAGGTTTATGATGAAGAGATGTCTCGCCACGCGAAAGTGTTGGCAGAAGGCGCGCGGCTCGTTGATCCGAACCCTCTCTTGGCAGCGACTGACAGGCCGGATGGGTTCCACACATCGCACACACCGGAGAACATGAACTGGACAGTGCAGTGGTATCGATCTTTGGTTTCGGCAACCGTTACCGACCGAATGATCAATGACCTTCGACCAGAGTTTGTCGCCAACGAGCACTACTGTAACTACTGTACCATCTCAACAAACCAGATTCTCGTTTGGCAGTGCCGCCGTCACTCGATATTCGAGTCAAGCCCGCTCCTGTTGAGGAGCCACCTGTGGCTCGAGATGATGGCGAGCAGATTGTGTTGTCTATCCCACTCCTTGCGCCTACTCAGCGCACCCTTCTAGCGGAAGGCGAAGAGGTTACTGAGGTTGGCCGTGTTTTGCTGGACACAGAGCCGGGCGCTGAGAATGTGGTGCAGAGGGTGGAAGATGACAGTACTGCAGTGACGATTACCAAAGTGCGGCTCGAGGAACATGGTGATCAGGAAGCGATCCCAGAAGAGGTCGAGCTCGCCAACTCCCTCGGCGTATTCGCCCTTGATTTGGGTGAAGAGCGCACCTCGAAAGAGGCTGCCGCAGCTACGTCCAAAACCTTCAAGAAAGTGGAAGAGCCTACTCCCGAGGAGCTGGCCAAGAATGTCATCTACAGTATTCCACGTGGGAGCGTTGGCATCCAGAACATGATGCAGGAAATGTCCATTGAAAGCGGCGCAAAGCCACCGATTCCCGCGAAAGCTGGAGAGAGACGTCGAAAGCCGCGACAAAGGGGAGCGGGCCCAAGGCCGCACCTCCGATCAGGAAGTTGGAGACTAAGGCACCCCCGGTGTCGTCCCAACAAAGTGCGGCACCATCTACGACATTTATGCGCCCCACGGAAGTGGTTGGCAAGTCAGCTGCTCAGAGGCCGACCGAGCCGATTCAGCCTCCGCCTCCCAAGAAGATGCCAGTCGCGAAGCCAGCGTCAGAAGCTTCGCCATGGAGGGGTGGCTCATACTGGTTGAAGGGCACAGATCTGCCCCTGCTCGCTTCTGGAGTTCGGCCCATGTCGGATGAGAAGAAAGAGCGACTGGGGAGGAAGATGACTTTCATTCTCAGGGCGTTTACCCACAAGCCTGAGTACGGCAACTCCGCGCCGAACATCAACCTCCGACCCAGAGATTTGTCTGCTGGGGAATAGTTTGTAGACGCCCTCGGCCAGATTTGGAGGGGACTCAGAGCCTCTGAAGTCATGGAGGTGTTCAAGAACCCTTCGGACGGAAAACCGCGCTATGACGTGTTGATCAATAGGAAATCCGACACTGAGTTTGACATTTTACGAGTTCGGTGCGTCCAAAGGACAATGTCGGACCAGATGGACATTATGGATACCCACCAAGCGGTTCATACGTTCGTGGAGTGGAACGCCAGTCTGACGACTCGGCCAAAGATCTCAGCCATGGCAATGTTCTGTCAGGAATTTGTGAAGTTCCCCTACAAGCTGGGCTACCACGGCACTTTCCAGCGCAATTTCGCCGATGTCATCAAGTACGGCTTGGTGCCTGGCGGTTTGTCGCTCCACGCAAGCGGCAGCAGAGCCTTCGTGATGATGTCGAAGGAGCCCGAGTGGCAGAGACAGGACAATGCCGGCCTTCGAGAGAAAGCCGAGATTGAGTTTGTGATCGACCTCCAAATGGCGGTCCGTGACGGCCTACGGCTTTAGAGACACGATCGGGTGCTCTAGAGACCCCTGACTGGGTGTCAAATCGGTACTTCATTTATGTTTACCGGAGGGGATCTGCCGAGCCGATTTGGGTCAACCCCGTTTACCAGGCCTTGAGGATCAGAATTGATAAGGCCCTAAAAGGGTTCCAGGACCGCGCCGAGGTGTGCTACTCGTTCGACCCACCGGAGGACATCTATAGCGAGTACGATTGCTATCTCGACCTCCGCGAAGGATCTCAGAATCAGTTCATTGAAGATTGGGCACCGAAGGCCATCGACAGCCGCGTGCCTTTCTACATCAATGGATAAAACGTCGAGGCGATCGGCTATCAGAAGATCGAGCGTCGGAAAACTTTTGACTTCCCGGCAGATGAACATGATGGCATTTATGCGTTCTGCCTTACGGTATGGCCATCTCAAGAGGGATGCAGACAGCGACCCCACGCCAGGCGAGAGCCTCGGCACTGGATCAAACAGGAGCTGATTGGTTTTCCAGGCTTCGTATGCAGCCAGTGCAATCATCCATACATTGATGGAATGATTGAATGCATGATCTGCACTCGGAGAGATCACGGACCTCGCTGTGATCGCGGAGCCTGACCGCGTGAGGAGACTCGCCGCCCGAGAGGGCCGACGTCCATCAATGGCCGACTTGCGTTCAAGCAACGTGTCAAGGAAGTCGAGGGCACGGGTGGAGATGTCTAGCGGGTCCAAAGCACGGCCGCAACCATCCGCCAAAAGATTGTCAACCAGCAGAGGACTGCCGAGCAACAGCACAATACAACTCCCCAGGGGCGTATGGAGACTGATCCCCTTCAAGCTCACAATTTCGCCAAGGCAGGGCTGAGCTTCTACACCGCGGAAGCACTCCAGCGCTTCGCTAACGTGAGGCTGCCCAACCCAAAAGGAAAGGGCAACGGCAAAGGGTCAGCTACTTACTATGACACGACCGGGAAGTTGGCATTGCTTTGGGTCACCGGCCAGCAGGAGATCGACCTCCTAACAGAGTGTCTCGTCTGCTTTCACGATCGTTGCTACACGATCGACGAGATCGCGGTTCTCATCACAGCTGTGAAGAGTAACCAGTTCGAATTCTCAATTCGGCAGTACGACGGCGACAAACACTTCATCATGCAGAATGAGATTCTTCCCATTATGGAAGAGCTGGCGAACTTGCTGCAGAGGGAGATCCCGAAGAGCCGGGGACCTGGTGATTATTCCGTCCCGAAGCTGGTGACAAGCGGTGATCTAACGATTCCCCCAAATGCTGAAGGTCTAGGCTACTTTTGGGCCCTTCTTCAACACGCATGGAGTGCCACCAAGAGAGGTCACGGTACGACAAGTGGCATCGGACTTCTTTGAAGAGCTGCAAACTGCAGGATTCCTCTACCCTGGGTTCAGACTCGGGTACGACCAACAAGGCAACGTCATCGACCCTCAGCTTGCCAGGCGTCTTGAATGGAATCGTGTTGATCAGTACCAGTGGGCGGTGTTCGTTGCAATTACCGAACCTTATGTCCGTCCTGAGTTTGTGATCAATATGATTCCTTCATACAGGAATCCTTCCGGCTTCGGCATGTTCGATCAATCGCATGTCCAGTGGTATCTGCAAGGGTGGAACCACCAGGTGTAGAACTACCGAACGGAGCGCCGGGACAGACAGGGTATTTTCGATTCATGACCATCGTGCTGACGCATGATCCACCTCCCTAACGGGACGGTAGCCTGAGCAAAGCTTGGTTGCAGTTTGGTTAGAAGTGATGTGAAGTTTTCAGCGCAAAGAGCACCATCCTAGCGGATCGGTGAGCGTCCGATACCCAACACGGGATGTAGTATGAACAGCTTACTCTTTTGCGAGTTGCTATCGTCGCAAAGCGATGGTACACGACAGTCTAGCGACTAGTCTTTCCTTCAGCTTGTATTTTTCGCCTCTTCCGTAGCACTAAGACGCGTGGGGGGTGTCGTTTGCTGAAGATGCAGCTAGTTCATACTTACGACTGTCATTATGGCTCAAGAAAAATGTGCGTATGCATTCTGGCTGCTCTGCCTGTAAACATACTAAACCCTCACCCATAACCCCTAAACCCTAAACATCAAACC